TGCCAACCCATAAAAGTATTATAAAAAACTTGTTATTTATATTGGCTGTAATTAGGTTCATTCCGCATACGCCTGGCTGAAATTTGGTCATAGTGGCTGTTTTTTGGTCAAATTTATATACTTTTTGAAATCGTTGTTTTATCAAACAGTTTTTATTTATAATAATTGCTGTAATTATATCCTAAATGCTAAAAGGTTTATCTTTCTAGAAATGTATAATTTTCATATAGACCTCTGTGTTAATATGTCTGTAGAAACAATTTTGTAAAGATGCGGCTGGAATTTGGTCACTTTACCCTATGTGTGCGTAATATAAGTTCATGCCAAAAAATTATACAAATAATGGCGGTCAATATTTTGCGGCAATATAATGTACTATTTTAATTATAATATATTATGGTAATATAAAAAAAAATAACATTTTCTTAAATTTGATTTATTTTAACTTTATTTAGACTTATGTCTAATATATAATGCTTTATTATCAATTTAAACAAGGTAATGTGTATTTAATATTCAGGCGAACTTGATTAAAAGGTATAACGATGAAACTGAATCTAAAATATTTTTCTTACTCATTTATTACTGCTTTGTTCTTAAAAAAAATTGAACAATCTATTTGTAAAATATACTCAAATAATTTATAAATAAATACAAGAAATATTTTTAGGCTCCCTCAGAGACTCTTAAAATTGACCTCTCTGCGAAGAAATTCCTAAAAAGTAAAAATACTTTTTGCTTTTAATTTAATAATAACTGCAGACTGTGTACAAAAAATGCACTCAAGACACTAAAGTCTAGTGCAAGTTTTAATTATTTTCTTTTTTAAATAAACATCAGTTATTGTTTTCTCTGTTTGATAGAAGTGATGAAAAATTTAAACATTAGCCGTTTCCTGACTGAGTTACCAGTAATGCAGAGCCATTGTTTTAAAACAATCCAACTTATACTGCTTCATAATAGTTTTTTTAGTCTTTTGATCAACTGTATGTCGTTGTTGGGTGCATCCAGAGTAGTTTTGCATGAAAACCATGCTTGAATGAAGACCTCAGCTAAAAAATCTATTTAAAAGCTGAATGTTTTTATTGCCATTGTACAACAACTATTGATCGTGTATATGGCTTTTGCCATCAATATGAAGTAAAAAGTCAGGTCAGGTTATCCTTTAAACGTCAAGTTAGGTTATCCTGATACTGGTAACATGAAATTCAGTACAACCTGCTTCCTGTTAACATCAGAAAGGGCATCTGATTGTAAAACATTGCTTTAACTCTCTCATAATAGCATTAATTTCATAATGAAAACCCTCCAAACCACACAAGTGTCGAAAAATAGAAGTAAAACTTACAACAACAACAAAATGGTCATATGAACGACACCTGATCTTCTGATAGTTGCTTCAATTTTTAAACCTATCAAATAATCAGCTAAAATCTGAAAAAATGCTAGATTAGAGGACAAGAAATGCAGTCTTTAGAGTAAAAGAAAGTTATACACCGCATGCACACAGTCTCATAATATAAGACATAACATAGGCAATAAAGGTTGATTATCTCTAGTGTCTTGAAAGAACAGCAAAGAAGATGATCAGTCGGATATAAAAGATGACTGAAAAGAAAGAGTTAATAAATATTAATGATATATATATATTAAGATGTGTCAGAGTAGATGAAGCTGGTTTAGGCATGTTATATAATACGCCATATTTGATTACGTATTATACAATCACGCATTGTAGATAATTACAATCATCATGCTAATGACCGTACTTTTATTATAGGCATTGCGTTTACGTTTTTTAATAATAGTTATGAAGAGAATAAAGTTGAGTCGCGAACTTTGTTATTATACACATGTAGTGATTGTAATGCAAATAATTGGGTATCAGCATGTAGAGAGTTAGCAGTTTAGTCAAAAAAAATAGAATTAGAAAAATTTGCAGATATTATGTTTTTTTTTAAGAGTATGTTATAGATTACATGGAAAAACCTCAGAAAAAAGATATATAAGATAATAGATATTTGAATAAATAGCATTATGAGAAACCTCCAACCAAGCAAGCACAGATACACTGAAACTAATATGACAATGAAGATAATGTTTACCCAAAAAACTCCTAAGAGATATATAAAATTTAGTTAATTTTACATTTAATTGTTATCTAAATACAGGGTAAAAATATTACCATTTCATCGGTTGGTAAATTGGTAAACTGATTAAAAAAGCTGTTGCCAATACCGATTGTACAAAAAGTAGCCATAAGTAAACAAACTCTTGCTATATGTTGCAGTGGATGTCCAGTCCGATTCATATACTTATACTTTTACTTTGTGCCCTTTTTATCATTTCAGAAGATTGATAATTAGTATTTATCATTCCGGAAAAAAAAGATTTTGTTGGCAGGAGGTAGGGAGGGTGGTGGGAGCCATACATCAAAGGTTAGTTTTTTCTGGGACACTGTAATATATATGCTTGCTAAATAATAATTATATACTTATATATAAAAAAAGCCAATATTTAATGTCGTGGTATTAAAAAGTTCTCTGATGCTAGAGGTCTGAGGTTCAAATCTTGGTACATATATATTTTCAGTCAGGTCAGGTTATCCTTACATCAAGTCAGGTTATTTTTATGTCAAATCAGGTTACCCTGCTACTGGTAACATGTAATCCAGTAAAACCTGCTTCATGTTAATGTTAGGAAGGGCATTCGGTTGTAATACATTGCTTCAACTCTTTAATGGCATTTATGTCACTATGAAAAACCATCCAAACCACATAAGTGTGGAAAAATGTAAAACTTACCTAAAAAAAGATATATATACGACTCTATATATAAGACTATTATATGTATTCTATATATATATATATATATATATATATATATATATATATATATATATATATATATATATATATATATATATATATATATATGTATATATATATATACATATATATATATATATATATATATATATATAAGACTTATAAGAGGATTTATTTAATTACAATTAAAAAAACATATTTATATTATATTATATCATATTATAAAGTTAAGTAAAACACTTTTTATAATAATTTTAGAAAAATTTTAATTGTTTAAAAAACAAATAAAAGGTTCATTATTTGTATTCAATGTTTAAAAATTTTTTTTTGGTTGAATGATCTAAAAAGAATGTTAAATGATTTATAAGGAATGTTAGAATGAGTGAGTTTGATACTTTGTTTGACGTAATTGCATCAATTGCTTCTAATAAAGTTAAAAAACTTTTATATTTAATTGTTTACAATAAGAAATTTCGAAGCAAATATACTCTTTTTTTTAAACTCATTTTAAATTTCATTGATTTTAATATTTCTTCACATAACTTTTGTTAGGGATTTCTACTTTTTGTCTTGAAACTTTTATACAAAGAATATATTTTTAGCGCTATTTAAAACGGAATGACGCAATTGCGATAAAACAAAGTATCAAACTTATTCAAACAAAATACAATAAAAATACAACGATGCTTTGATCCCTTTTAATACCGTAGTTATTGCGTTGTATTAGTTAAAACTATTGTTTTGAAGAGAGCAAAATAAAAATCATTTTATTATTTTAATATTCTAAAACTTTACACTTGTATTTATCAGATATAAAAATATATTTTATTCCTGGTAAAGTTAGAAACCTATAATTTAAAATTTTTTTAGGTTGCTATATCAGCGGAATATATATATATATATATATATATATATATATATATATATATATATATATATATATATATATATATATATATATATAAATATAATATATATATATATATATATATATATATATATATATATATATATATATATATATATATATATATATTTATATTTATATATATATATATATATATATATATATATATATATATATATATATTAGGGTGGTTCTTAAAACACCGACCGAAAATTTCAAAAATAATATTCATTTCGAAAAAAAAAAATACTTATTTTATTTTTTACTCATTAAACACCATTTAAAATTATATATTATTGAAAATATAAAAATTGCATCTGTGGAGCATATTCTTGTAAAAAAGTTTAATGAAGGTATGAATAGGTGTGGTAAGCGCTGCTTATCTTTAATTACAGAAGTAGCTGGTGAAACTCGTTTATCTATAAAGACAGTTAAAGTATTAATTTTTTTATGTGGATATTATTTAAAATTATAGTTACAATTTCATATTATATGCAATTTTAATCATTATTTGTTTTTAGTGTTTTTAACAACTAAACATTAAAACTGACAGTTGTTTGTCTACGTTATAAAACTAATTTCTAAAATTAACTATTTATATTTTATTTATAATTTATAATACATACAAGTAATGGTAAAGTTTATGTTAAAATATGAAGGCAAGAGCATACTGCAAGAGCAATCAAAGAGGGCTAGCACTCTTTGATTGCTCTTAAAGTAAAGTTTGATGTGCATCAGGGTTCAGTGTTTACAGTGCTTTACTTTTTTAAACAATTAATACAAGCTGTTTTTATTTGCTCATTCTAGACTTTACAAACGTAAGTTTTTTATTACCTCATTTTTCTTTACTTTTTTTTTTGCTTCAATTCCATTCTTTCAACTAACTTTTCCCCAACTTCTATTTTTCCAATTTCATTTTTCAATTCTATTTTCCCAAGTTATGAAAACGTAATTAAAGCAAAAAAAAATTAATAAAAGCTTAAATTATAAAAAATTTATGCTTTGTAAAGTCTAGAATGAGCAAAAAAAGATTAAGGTGGTTTGAGTACGTAGAATGTAAAGGTGTTGCTAATTGTGTATAGCATACATAGTGAACAATGAACGAAAAACAATGATTTTAAAATGATGAGAATTACAGGATTTAATTTTTTCGAGTTATTTGTTTTATATACAATTTGACAAGTATGAAATTTATAAAGAAATTTTAATTGTTTAACCATAAATACAGATTTTAATCATCTAAACTCATATTACATTTTTTTAGAACTGGATTGCTAGGCACAAAGCAAAAAGCCAAAAATCAGATGTGGATTTTAGTGTTAAACAAAAAAGAAAAAAAGTGTCTATAAATACTCAGGTGCTAAGGGGGTTCGATTTATGGAAACAAAACCAGTTATTGTCATTGGAAGGTATTTTTTGCAGTAAATTTAACCTTTACTATTATTATAATAATTATCTTTATATTCTTTTTGTTCACTCAATATGGATTCTTCATCAACTTTTTTTTCTTTTTTGTCAAACTTTTTTGTTTAAACTAACTTTTCTTTTTGATATTGGATAGCTTGTGGGTTTGTTTTTTCAAAAAGTCTTTTAATTATTTTTTTGTTATTATCTTGGAAATTTAGTTTTTATACTTCATTTTTATGCATATTCAACTTGTTTTAAATTTAAAAAATTTAATGTTTATTTTATTTAAAATAATATTTTTTGTAACGAATGTATTGTATACTTTTTGATAATTGTTTTTACAATTGTTTTTACCTATATTAATATATACTCTATCAATAATTGTTTATTAAACTAGATTCAGATTTTGATAACAGAAATTTTTGTTTCAAAAATCTTGGTCATAACTGGTCGTTGTTAACAAACAATGAAAAAGAAAGCTGGAACAAGAAAGCTTTATTACAAAGAAACAAATTACTTCCTTTTACTAAAGAAGAAAAAGAAATTAAATCTAAAAAGTTGTTAAAACAGTTGAAAAAAGTTGTATGTTTATTTTAATTATAATTAATTACCACAAATTATTATAAATAATAGTTTTTAAAAGTTTCGTACCCTTTATATAACATAAAGAGAACTTGTTTATACATTTTTTATTTAGGTGGAAGAGTTAGCAAATATGGGCAATGGCGTTGTTGCGGTTACTTGTCTTGCTCATGGTGGTGCTCCTGTTGGAACTGCAACCGAAAGAGGGTGCCAATTTTTACTAAATTTTGAAGAATTAAACTTTCAGTTTAAATTTGCTGAATTTTTGAAAGGTATTTAAATTATTAAGTAACAAGTATATGTTCACAATAATTTAACATAAAGTTAAAAGCTTCATTTTTAATTTTAGCTCCAATAGTCAATAAGGAAATGGTTGAAAAAAATAAATTATGTATTAAAGTTGCAGATATTTTGAATAAAAAATATGGTATAACTTTACATTTGTAATGCTTGTTTTTTAATTTTTTCCTATTTCTTAATTATTCTAATAAATAATATTAGAAATTAGTCGTCGTGCTTTGCCAAAACACTTGCAACAAAGATTTCGAAAATGTCATATTCCATACAAGAAATATGTTCCCACTATTATTAGTGCTCATGGCTTACCTGATGGACAGGTTTTAAGATATCCAAATCGAAATGAAATTAATATTGTTTTTGACTTGACAAGTTATTTTTTTTTATTATATTGTACAAAGTATGAATAATATTTACATAGCATTTATATTAGAGTAGTACTAGTATATATTTGTTACAACAAAAGTAAAAATATTGACATAGTACAAGTCATTGATTGTCAGATTGCAGTTAGTTAAAAAAATTGCTGTATTTTTCACATTGAAGTATCTCTCTGTGATTAGTTTGTCTTATGTCTTTGTGGCTCTGAGGTGTACTAGCTCAATAATTTGCAGGGTTGCATGGTTTTAACTGAATGGTTTAAAAAATGTTGGTTTAAACTAAATTAATAGTTTTTGGGTTTTTTTGAAAACCCTGCTGTTACTTAACATTGCTTATTAAATGTACCAGTTTCTAGTGCTGGAATCAAATGAATTTGTTTAACTTATGGAATGATGTATTGAGTTATTTCAACGAAAAATAACAGTAATATTGATAAAGAAAATAATTTACCCAAGTAAAATTTGCAATGATTTTTTTTTTAATTTTTTAAACAAGATCAATTTAAACCAAGGTTGTTGTTGTTGTTTTTTAACCCATGCTTTTCGGTTTTTTAAAAAAGCAACACTTTTTTCACAACCCTGATAAGTTGTTCAACCTTCAACAAATGTGGGCTCCAATCTGGAATTGCAAAATTAAGTAAATGATGGACATAAGACATAGTGAAACTTTATTTTATAATATATAAATAGTATATAATACTATTTATATAATATTGATAAGTTTATTATTTTAGTAGATACTGTTATATTTATTATAAAATTAGAAATATTCTGCTTGAATTAACTTGCATTCAAATTTATTTATCAAACACATTAAAAGAAATAAAATAGTTTTATATTTTATTATTTAAAACAATTCAAACAATATGCTTCTTTTAAAGGTTTATTGCATATGAAATACAATTCATTTGAAACACATTTATGTTGTAAGTCATTACTGTTTTTCTTTTACTTTTCTAAATAATTCTACATTTAATTTTGTATTCGATTTTTGTTTACAATTTTTTAATCTTTAGCAACGGAAGTTAATAGCGACTTAATCGAGTCTTCTATGTTTGCTAATACTGAATTATTATCAACAGAAATAGGTAGTTTTATTAATTTTTAAGTTTTATGTTCAGGAAACATAAACACAAAACTTTGTTTTAAAAGGTCTCCACAGGTTTCTATAAAGACCTTTCTTTGACACTATGAAGGAGTTAATTATAAAACCTGATTGTTTTCCTGGTATTAACTTGTTTTACATCAGAACTGAAAGATCAATTTCATGTCATGATAAAGACATATGTCATATATATCATTTCTTTTTTAAATTTGTATAAAGCTGTTGCTTTTTTAGATTAAAAAAAAAAAAAAAATACTTTTTAGATTGTGAATTTCAACCAGTGAGAATATCTAACTCAAACGTAAACGAATTAAATTTGTCAGATGTTCAGTCTGCTTATTGTTCTGATGCAGGTTAGTATTTTTTTTCTTTTTTTTTTAATGAACTATTTATTTATTTGTTATTGTCTGTATGTTAATGTGATATTAGATTTATTAATACTTTATGGTAATAAATTAAAGGATTACCATTACAATTACAATTAATAATTACTCAATGCAACTAAGGCCTGGTACACGTTTTTTCGAACAAAAATGTAAGATTTTTCAATTGCAATATATGTAAATTTTTTTGTCAAAAAGTATGACATGTTTGGTATGTTTGAAAAGATTTTTTTAACCACTATTATAATCTGGTAAAAGTAATGCGACTTTAACAAATCATCAAGCGTAGTTTTATTTAGAAAAGATGTAATTTTCAACATAAAGTACCGTGGGGCTTGGCTATAGATGAGTCTATAAATTTGATTTTTTCATAAAAGCATGTCTTGGTGTTTGTTTTCAATGAATGTAACGTGACATTTACGATTAGACATTATTTGGGGAAAATATCCATGAAAAACTATTTTTTTATGAAAATTGAAGTTAATATTTTCAATACCACACCTAAATGAATAATTTTAACAATAATATCAAATTAGATTCAGATAAACTATGGTAGTGTTAATGTTTCTGCAAAAGTCGTTTTTACATAAATATTCACAACTTTAAGCCCCAATTAAAAAACTGTTTTCGGTATTTAGTTTCATTTTTTGAAATACTCGGGACTTATTCGGCATCTTAAAAAAATAATTTATTCCATTCAGCAGAATGCGTCAACAATTTGAAAAAAGAGGCGGTAAACTTTATAAACAAGTTAGTTTTGATTTTCATATCAGCAGCATATAAACTTTATAATTAAGTTAGTTTCATTGCTTCTAAAAATAAATGCAATCAACTTTTTAAATTAAAGTATGGAATGACTGTGATATCAGTTAATATAATATTTTTTACTCTTTAAACTTTATAGATCATCACTATGTCTATAATAGATCCATTATCGTGTGGTTATGTCAAAGTTATTGTGTTTAACCTGCTGATGTCAAAGGCTTCCTTACAGCAAAGAATTGATGAATATAATTCAATATTCAGCTGTCAAAAAGAAAATTTTGCTGTCTCTAATGATATCCATCGTCGAAATTTTCCTAAGATTAAGGCAAAATTATGTTATCTTTCTAAACGACATAGTGCAAAAAAGAAGATAAAAATGGACACATTTTCTTTAAATGCATGGATTAAACTTAGTTTAACAGAAAAATGTCGACACAGGTTTTCCAACTGTCAAGAGTGTGTTAAGCTTAATGCAAATGTGTTATCTTTAATCCCAACAAACACTAAGTTTTACAAAAAAAAAGCAAGTTATCTTTTGTCAAATGAAATCGCAACTGGAAACAAACAAAAGAAAATTTAATAAGTTGCGCAAGTACTTTATTGGATGAAGCAAATAGAAAGTTTAAAAAACAATACTTTATGCCAATAACAAATGCAATACCCCTCATACCTGATTCAAACTTAATTCAGAAACCATCAAGAACTGACACACAAAAATTACGCAATAAATATGCAAGGTTATTCAAATGCAGTGTTGAAAAATGCTTTGAAGAAACAGCAGCTGTAAGGTACATAATCTTTAAAAAGCTAAAACCGTTTTTTATATAACTTTATTTAGTAGATTCAAATTGAGATTTTGTATTTTCCAAATTGAAAAATCCTCTTAAATAAATTAAAATATTTTATTTATAGGGCATTTGGAACTGAAATATCTTTGCGGAAGGCTACAAAAATACGAATGAATCAAAGCTTTGAAACTTTTGCAAACTTAAAAGTTCGTAATGAAAAAAAAAATCCAAATAAACTTAAAGATTATACTGGAAACAACACAAATAAATGGAATGAAAATAATTGTTGGAAGGAGGTAGTTTCTTATGTGCCAGGTACAAAAATCAATTTTACTGAGCTAGCACAAAAATACAATGTTATTAACAGTAATGGTGAGATAGCTAAAAATGGGGGTCAAATTGTAAAACAGTTTCTATCAAGTAAAGGTGTTGACTTAAGTTGTTTGAAATATAAAGGCCAAGGAAATAGAATAATAAGACGATGTAAGAAGAAAATTCATGCAACAGATATTAGTATACCTGCTGAACCAACAATAAAAAAAATTAAGTTGAATATAAAAGAGAAAGTGTCTAAAGGAGAATATACCATTGGTGAATTAATTATACCACAAAAGTTCCAAATCCTTACAATAACTGATGATAAATCTTTTAAAACTACTGAGGTAGATGTAGCAGGTAGAAAAATCCCTCTTAATCATATCAGAAAAACACTTGCTGAAAAGCACAAATGTTTTATGCGATTACATTCAGAATCTGAAATAAATTCAATGAGCGATGGCAAGGTTAAAGAAGAACTAAATCGTTTAAATGAAAACGACAATAGCATTCACAAACTTCAGGATTTGCGAAAAAAACTATTATATTTTAACAGAAGAAGACACATACAAGTTTGGCATGATGGATCTACTGTAAACAACCATTCACATTTACTGTTTATGGTGAACTGTGTGTATGATAAAGCAATATATTACACTGAAAAGGAGTATTTTGAAATTCATGGTAAAAAAATTGACGTTCAAGCTCAGATTGAAAAACCTGAACTTTATATATTTGCTCGTTGTTCATCAACAGATAAACAGCTTATGTACACAAGTACCAGAAATGAAGATAACAGACTGTTAGGAGAGTCTATTGATATAAATGGTGAAAAAATTAATGATATAATGCGTTTTTTTCATGGTGATGCACCTGCCTGTCAGTTTGAGATTGGACAGCAAAAAGGAGGTGATTATCCTTGTTGTGCATGTCCAATTAACATAAATCGCTCTTATGATACAGCTTATTCATTTTATCAACCTCTGCTGAGTATAGAAAATAGAGTAAAGAAGCTCACACTTACTCAAATAAGCAGAAATAAAATAAACAAACAGCAAACTAAACTGTACAAAAACTTACCAAAACATGAAATTATTGATGAACTTAATGAACGAGGAATATATTTTCAATATAAATCACACAAAAAAATTCTTCAGCAAAAACTTGATAATGAAATGCATGGCATGCAGCGATTACCAGCTTTGCTGTTTAATGAGGATTTTGATGACTTAGAAAAGCTTTATTTAAGTAAATATGAAATCTTGCCATGTGAACCATTACATGATGTGAAAGGTCACACATCTAATCTTTATGAAGAAATCAGTTCTCATTTAAATACTATTGAACGAAAACTGTTTAAGGAAATGGTGAGTTTATCATTTGACAACAAAGATTGCAAACGTGGCATTGACTATCGCAAAAGTTTAAGTAAATTAGTTTTGACATTGAAAGGAAAAATTTAAGAGCTTATAATGTTTTATTAACAATGTTTTACATTCAAGGCATACTGTATGGTAATGAACTCAGTAGAACAATTGAAAATATTTTGTTTCTTTACAATCAAACATTTTTGCATTCAATTTATTTAAAAGAACTTATAAAGGACAAACCAATAGCAGTTTCACAGCGAAAAATGTATGGCAAATACCAACATAACCTAATAGTACATGCCCCACACATGTTAAGAATAATCTCTGGAATATCAGCAAATGCTGAAAAAGAGGAAAGAACTTTTAATACAATTAAAACTATAAACAGTTCAACTACAAACCACAATAGTGAGCATGTGATATTAAACACCTTGCTTCGACTACAATGTCATAAAAGCTTCAATGAGGGCTGCAAAACTCAAAACCATCAACATGCAATAAGAAAGATAGTAAAAGATTATGAACGAACAGAAACAGAAATTCCAATTTGGATTATTGAAATGTATCCATGGATATGGCAAGGTCATTTAGAGCGGATATCAGACTACTTGTCAGAAGGTAATAATAATTGGTGGTTTGAGTCAAAAAATGGAATAACATTTAAAGATAAAATAAGTAATATTTCATCAAAATTGCAGCTACATCATTTTCGCTCATCCACATTAATGTCTGAATATATCAATCTTAAGAACATTTGGAATGAATGTTTATTGAACAAAACTAAAATTCCTGCACAAAAGATCAAGATTGAGTCGAACGAGGGTACTCAAGTTGTTAATTGTAACTCTTTAAAAAAATATATAGTTTTAGAAAATAAAAACCCAAAAATTCAAACCAGCACCAATAATTCTTTTATTCATTTTGCACAAATAACAGAGGAACCAGAAAAAGAAAGTTCAATTCAGATGCAAAAAATAATCAGATCAAAGAACCTACGTATGGACCAAGCAACCAGTACTCCCCTTTTTATCTGATGTTTCAACCAAGCCTTATGTTCAACCTATTAAGGAAATCACTTCACCAATAAAGACAGTTTTTAAAAGATATCAACCCGTAGCAACTTCTTTCAATGAAATTCATTTATCAAATAACACCAATAACATAACAAAATCAAAAACAAATGTAGTTAATCTTAAAGACAAGGAAATATCAGCAATAAATTTGTTTAATAACACAGTTAATATTTAAAGAATATTAACTTTAAAAGTATTTATTAGTAATATATACATATAGTTTATATATATATATAAATATATATATATATATATATATATTGTTGAAAGAAGAAAGCTTGTCTTTTATGCTACTTTTTGTTGAGATTAGCGCATAACTTGATGAAAGAAAATACTATATTATATAAATAAAATTATATGGCATAAATAATGAACAATGAAATCATAACTCATGCATCAAAATATTGTTAATAAAGTCTTATAAAATATAGACATAAATTTTTAGTACCTCCATAAGTTTATGTTTTTTTCAAGAAAATAATAGACAATTGGTTTCTTTTGTTTTTATAACAATAACTTAAAAGTAACATAAGTTACTTTTAACTTATTTTTTATAAAAACAGATAAATTTTTGAATACTAAGTCGATACAAATAGGTATTATGGCTTCAGTAATGTATCAAAACAAAATATTTTTTGTTGTTAGCACAGCACAGAATGACATATATTGCATAAGTTATTTCAGCTGCTTTTAAAAACAACATATTGTTCATAAATATACCAACACAAATGTATTAAATTGTAATTAGGTTCACAAATCATGTCAAACAAACGCTACAAGATATCTTTGTAATAACATTGACATATCTCCAGCAAAACGATCAGAGACGCTTCGGTTACTTATAATATTTTGCCATTATTAATTATTTGTTTGCATAAATTAAATACCGATAAAGATAAAGTTCTTAGGATTGAACTAACAACCAATCAGATTTGATTAAAATTATCGGCTTTTTTTTTTACGAGTCTGTTTGTTCTATGCCTTAGTTGCATTGAGTAGCTGTTTTATGTTTATAAATGATGCATTTATTATCTTCATCTTATTCCTAATCATGTTTTAGCATCCGTGTTCATTGCATCCATGCCTGCATATTCTAATTATCCGATTTTCTCCAATATACAAGAACTTTCGCTCTAGCTGTAACTGAAGCTTTTTCATGTCACCTTTGTAATAATCTTCAGGGTAATTGTAAACAATGGACACAACAAATATAGTTAAAGCCTATAGTATGCCATCTTTATTATATATCATTTCAGCATTTGAACACATTTTGTGTTGTGCTTAGCCAAATAAGGCAAGAGTCTGTTTTCTTCTTTTTAGACTATATTTTTAAATAAGTGTCTTTTAATGCCCAGGGATCTGGGGGCTATCCTATGATGCCCATGTTTCACCCATAATATTTCAACAATTTATAAATAAACCCTTTCATTATATGAAAATTACTATATTGTTATTTATAGTTTCCTAATATTTATATGTAAGTTCTTGAAAAAATATGTATTGCCTTTTAAAAAAAACATTCTGCTTTTTATCATGTTTTGAGAAACTAGCTCTCCTCGGAAGTGCTTTGAAACGCTATAAATAAAGCTGAAATAACCCACATGATATTAGACCACTTGTTATTTTAACCTACATGACATTAGGCCACACAATAATTTGCAGATTGAATGCAAAGTCCTATGGCTTACCTTCTCTTAGGTGCACTTCGTTAAATCAGTTAAATTATTCAAAACTATTAAATTATTAAATAATTAAAAAAAATCAGTCCAAGACAGTAGTACAATTCCAGGAATGTGGGAACACTGTATAGTTTAATTGTATACCAATTTTTTTTTTTTATTTGATTTTTTTTTTCGATGTTGAAAATACCTAAGTCTAATCTTAAGCTAACGTGTCGGTTTGACACATTAAGATCAACGTGTTAAACCGACGCGACGAAAATGTTTGACACATCATTTTAGATTTAAATGACTCAGTTCGCACAGTTCCGAGATGGTTCAAATTGACCAATGATAGATGTCTTATTTCATTATTCACTTGGTCGACTACAAACACAAAAACGTTTAACCAAGTAAAAAACTGTTTCAATTGTATGTTTCAATTGAAAAAAAAAAGGTCTCTCTCGGACCAATAGCAAATTAATTTTAACTTTAAGACATCTATTTTACCGAATATTTAAAAGTGATTTGTCAGGCATACAAAAAAAGAATAACTACTTATAGATTGCGTTAGCAAATTGGGTGAGAAACAATTTTTGAACTCAAAAATAATCATTATGAACTTTGTTTGATTGTGTTTGGAAATTTAATACGAAACAATTTCTTAAAATAAAAAATTATTACAAATTTTGCTTGACGCCTTGCTTCGCATGTCTATGAATAATGGAAACATGCATCAACAACTTTTTTGCATCAACAAAATAATTTTAAAAAGAAAAGAAAACCAAAAAGGACGAATTAGATCGATATCAAAATAAATTGTCTGGGCTAAAACAATGTACGCGATAAATTTATTAAATAACTCATTTTAAAGCCAAATATAATATTGTGTAATAATAAACATTTTTTATTGACGTTCATTTAAGAGAAAGAACGCAAAACTTTAATTCAATTTTAAAATGTTGCTGAGGTAAATAGTAATTTTGTGAGTCCCTCAGAATTTGTTTGCCGAGGCCTAAAAATATGAATTTCTTAGAAGAAACGATTAACTAATAAAAAAGCAGTATTGCAGGGATCCCGGAACATATTAATTTGCAGGGTGATAATTAATAAAATGAAAATGTTGTTATTAATACAGAAATAGATTTAAACAAAAAAAAAAATAATTTATTGCTATAAAACTGTGCAGGTCATCACCGCTTGGCACCCGCGGTGTTATGTAAAGTATATTTTTTTATAATGGTAAACATTTATTCAAATTCTAAATCACTATCATCCGATCACTACTTAATTCATCTTCAAAGTCGCTTAACAACAGAGTCTTTATTTCACTTGAAGTATCCGAATTAAGATAAGGACAAAAATCCTCAGAAAAACAATTGGTTTTAAAAGTTAAAGCATCTATTTCATTCAGTAATCTAGCTTTCCACCCATTATCTTCAGTATTATCTTCAAGTAATACGAGAGCTTCCTTAAATTCATTTATTTTAGTTTGGTTAAAACTTAATACGTTTTTCATTTCGCTTTTAACCATTTCGATTTCTTCGATAGCTCTACAGTTCAATTGAAACAACTCAATACACTTTCGTTCAACTGTTACGGGAATGGCGAAATCGGAACTTTTTTGTGTCAAATAATTTTTCCAAAAAACACTCTCCAAATCACCAACCTTGTCCCAAACAACTACATTTTGTAAAAACTTCCTGGGATAAATTAAAACTATAGAATTATACTCGTTGATTAGATCTTGCAAACTCTTATTATTTTTATTCAGCTGCTTAGTAAGCTTTATAGCAATTTTCTGGCCGTCTAAACAAAAAAAATCATAAATAAATGTTTTCAATTTGAAAATTATAGGCTTTCATTAAACATTTCAAGTAATTTTAAATTAACTTTTTACCTGCGTATTTTTTTTTAAAATTACCAAGAAATAACTTTTGAAATGCAAAAGATTGCATTTTTAGCATAATATTATTCATTTTTCTTTCAAAGACAGTTGCTAAGGTGTCCTTAAAAAAAGCATTGATTGGATCCCACCGAGTATTTATTTTTAATTTCTTCTCTTTAATACTGAGTTCTCTTTCAAGCCTGATATAACACACAAATGTTGTTTAAAAAAGATAAATATAACCATTGCTTCAGAATATTGTTTTTGAAAAAATATTAACGTTCTAGTTCTATGTTTATATCTGAATTGCTTGTCGTAGTTTCAATATCTTTCTAATAAATAAAAAATAAAAAAATACCAAATGCAGTTATGTAATTTTTCTTCTTTTAATCTAATATTAATTATATATTACAATATCAATTAAACAAATAAATAGATAAACAGGTTAAATATTAAAAAATAATATTCATGTTTCATTAAGCTATACTATCATTATACAATACCTGTAGATAGTAATCTCTAGTACACATCACGTTTAAAAGTAGTTTTCCCATTATTTTCGTCTTAATTTTGCTTATAGCTTTTTAAAAAAAATTTTGCTTAAAGTTGTTTCTCAATTTTTTTCGAAATTTTTCTTAATTTTCTTATGAGTAACGAATAAAAAAGCTTAAAAATCAAATCAAATACACAAATATATACTTAAACTTGTATGCAACATTTTGGATGTCAGGAAAACCTAAAAGTTCAGAAATATATCCGGAGTTCCGGGAATATCCAAAAAAAAGGTAATCCCTGATATATGAAAGTTTTACAAATCAAGTTGTTAAAAGTTGTATCTATGCTCTTATTTTAAACTTTTACTTTTAAAAAAATCCTTTAAGTCTTGAAACTAATAACTAAAAAATACTTCTGCTCTGTCAAACAATTTACCTTAACTTCCACCAATCATTCAAAATTAAAACATAGCATTCAAGATCGCTTTCTGCAAATAATACAAATATTTATTAAAATTTATAAAAAACAAGAGTATAATTATAGTTTTGATTAAATCTAACATTATTAAATTAAAAATTCATAGTAAAAAACATTTAAACCTTTATTATTTTTTTGATTTCCACAGTCTTCCATATCAATTTCTGCTGCAATCCAAGATTGAATAACCTCTCTTTGTAGAACTTAAGAATATTTCAAAAATATTAAACATCCTCCAAGGTATATCAATTAAGTACCCTCCAGGATATATAATATACAACTTCAAGATTCAGCAGAAACCTTTTTCATTTTTAATTATTTGAAGCATCCAAAAATAATTTATTTTTATTAATGAAAAAGTTTTATTTTATTAATAATGTATGCAAAATTAGTACATAAACTTTTATCTATAGAGAATTAAGCGACATAACATTATTATGACTTTACAGCATTATGAAATCAGGGACCCAGTGACACTGTTGTTTATATAATAGATTATTAATAATTTATTTAAAACATCAAAGTTATACGAACCGCCAATAGACTTAAGTGTTTTTTCAAGTTCAATATCAGTAGTATCTTTAATTTGTACAGCTTTGTCGATTCGAGCACATAGTCTTCTACCTAAAAATATAATACAAATATACATACGTTGAAAATGAAAGCAATATGTTATAGCAATATTTAGTTTTAAAATTACTTATTGAATTAATCGAATATTGTGCATAATGAAGTAAACCCAGTGTAAGATTATCAGCTCTATGACTTGGTGTTTGCTCTTTAGTGATTTTTGAAAATCTTCTAAGGGCAGACCAAAGACGCTCCATAACTTCACCATGTGAAATACCTATACCAACAGTTGATTTAGGGGAATATTTTACTAAAAAAAAAGAAACAACTACAATGCACCTTTGAGTATGCAATTTTACCAAAACACCTAATGTAATTTCTATTAGTTATTAATTAACAATTTGAAACAAATGTTTTCAATATCAATAAAAAAAATAGATCTGAAAAATGTTTGTAAGAAATTAAGTAATTTGTTAATTATCAGTATTTTAAAAATACCTGGCAAGCTGATCTATGACCATATATATGAAAAGAAGGAATACAAAAAGAGACATTCTTATCAAGGATATTACTTCCTCGTTTCTAGAAAAAACAACAATGTAACATAAAATTTATATAATTATACTTTCATAATAGCAAATCTTTATTAACTTAGGATATAAATGATTTTATAAAAAATTACAAATCATACTATAAATCCTTACTTTAAGATGTTTAACAAGCATGCATGCAATATCATACATTACCACAACATTAACCTCCTTTTTAACTTGATCAAGTATTTGGTTTATTAAATAAACCGCATTAGCCAAACTAAAAATTAAAAAATTATAATAAACAAATTATTTTTCTATACTTTTCTAATAAAAATATTGAAAGCAAGAACCTTTCATCAGATTGTCTAGGTACTTCCTGTACTTTCAAAAATTGTCTAGGTACTTCCTGTCTGCAAGAACATCCAAAAACACCTTCTGATAATTTCTAAAGATATATAAACATATATTTAGAAATTATCAGAAATTATCAGCGGTGTGCTACAGGGGTCAGTAAAACGGACCACTTTCGTTCGTGCTATACATAAACGATTTTCCTGAAACCTATCTATGTTGTACGCTAATGACACTAAAATAATGAATGAAATAATTTGCTACAAATCAACAGTGTCTTTGCAAGCAGATCTTGATATATCTTTCAAGTGGAATCAAGAATGGCTTGTAAAATTCTATATTTCTAAATGTAAAAGAGATCTAGGAGTAATTTTCGCAAATAACCTAAAATGGAAAAATCAAGTTATATCATGGCAAAGGAAATCAAATGCTGGGTATGATTAGAAAAAGTTTTGTTCATTTAGATATTACACTGCTGAGATTACTTTACTTATCTTTTGTTAGGCCACTATTAGAGTTTGCTGTACCGGTTTGGTCACCGAATCAAAAGGGTGAAATTGACTTATTGGAAAAAGTTCAACATCGAGCAACTTGACTTATACTACCATTAAAGAAAAATAACTATGAGAATCGTCTAAAAGCTCTTGACTTAACTAAGTTGACAAATAGAAGAAAAAGAGGAAACATGATTCAACTTTTTAAGATCTTTAACGGTTTCAACAAATCAGAAACAAAAGTAAAGTTTAATTTTCAACAAAATCAAACAAGAGGTCACTGATTAAAAAAAAAAAATAATTCACTAAGCAAGCTCATCGCAGAAACATTTTCTTTAACAGATCAGTCAATTTGTGGAATAGCTTGCTGAACAATTTGGTTAATTCAAAAACAGTTAACAGTTTTTATGCTGGTCTTGATAGCTGGATGAGCAGCGATCAGACAAATCAGATGTTATAGTGCGCTAATAACACAATCACTGGTTCATACCAGTTACATCAAATAATAATATTAATAATAATAACAACAACAACAATAACAACAATAAAATATTTATATATGTATATATATATATATATATATATATATATGTATATATATATGTATATATATATATATATATATATGTGTATATATATACATATACATATATATATATATATATATATATATATATATATATATATGAATATATATATATATATATATATATATATATATATACATATATATATATATGTATATATATCTATACATAATATTATATATACATATATATATATATATATATATATATATATATATATATTTATATATATATATATATATATATATATATATATATATATATATATATATATATATATATATATATATATATGTATATATATATATATATATATGTATATATATAAATATATATACATACATATATATATATATATATGTATATATCTATACATATATTATATATATATATATATATATATATATATATATATATATATATATATATTATATATATATATGTATATGTATATATGTATATATATATATATATGTATATATATATATATCTATATACATCTATATATATACATATATATACATATATATATATATATATATATATATATATATATATATATATATATATATATATATATATATAATATATATATGTATATATATACATACATACACATATATTTATATATGTATATATATATATTCAAATATATATATATATATAATATATATATATATATATACATATACATATATATATATATATATATATATATTATATATATATATATATATATATATATATATATATATATATATATATATAATATATATATGTATATATATATATACATACACATATATATATATATATATATATTATATATATATATATATATATATATTCATATATATATATATATATATATATTTATATATATTCATATATATATATATATATATATATATATATATATATATATATATATATGTATATATATAAATATATATATATTATATATATACATATATATATATATATATATATATAAATATATATATATATTATATATATATATATATATATATATATATATATATATACATATATATTATATATATATATATATAAATATATATATATATATATATATATATATATATATATATATATATATATATATATATATATATATATATATATTTACTCTCCGATCACTTATTATTTTAACCTTCAGAAAGAAAGCCTTATATATGTTCCTAATTGTTGCTTAATTAATAGTTAGACATGAATTTGAATGCATGAAGAACTTGAATAAACACATTCTTAAGATTCTTAAAAATGTTTTATTTAAGACCTTGAATAAACACGTATTCTTGAATGTGTCTAATTATTAATAAACAAATGCATAAACAAACATTCTTAATAAGAATGTTTGTTTATGTATGTAAGTACAAATTAATTTTAAATATACCTTTATTTTCTTTTTAAGGTTGAGTTTTAGCATTGTTAGAACCGTACCAATTTTTTGTAAATTTTCTTTTGTATTCTCCAACAACATTATTAGTCACTTTTTTTCGAGCTCGAAAGCTTCGTGAACTTCTAGACGCTATTTAAATAAATTAAAACCTTCGCTACAAAATTCTAACGCTCCGAAATTCCAGCCTTATCATATTAGGTTTATATATATATACGTAATATACATAACTTGATCACATCAAAAAATAATATCACATGTGTGGCGGTGTGGCAAATACACGGCTGATGAGATCGGAAAACACAGAGATATTTTATTTCGATGAGATCGACAAATTTTACTAAGAATCGGGTGTGTATTATTTGAACAAGTTACTTTAATTTGATTGCTACCGTCCAAACGAAAGAATAATTTAAAATTTTCCTTTACTGTGCTTAAACTTTTAGTTTCATAAAATTTCTTAAGACAAGTTTTAAAATCCATTTTTTTTATATTAATTTAAAAAAAATATTTTTTATACTTATATATTTATATTGTAAAAAAAATTAATAAAAAAAACACTATTAAATATTTTATTTTAACAATTTATTATTGGTAATTCAAAACCTACATACAAATCACCTTTATTTACATGACTTATAGTATACAATTTTGAAATAACGTTATAATCTAAAATTAAGCCACCTAAAAAAGTAGAAATTTTTGCATATCCTATTTCTTTATTTCTAGTGATCATTTGACACAAATATTCGTTATGATATTTAAACGTTAAAATATATTTACCGCAATCAGATACGTCTGTTCTTAAATTATTTAAAACTTTATCCCCCCATTTCGTTTAATAAAAGTTGATAAAAATCCAAATCTTCCTCTATCAAAATACAAAATGTGTTTACAAAACATGTACTACAATATATTTTTTATGATAACTTTTATGTTCTCTATAACACTTTAACATCTTTTATCATTATCTTCTTAAACTTCTAAAAACATTTCCACCTCTATGCATCATGTTGTTTATTCGTCTATGTTGTTAAATTTTTTTTATGTATAAAATGATATCTTTTTAAACGATTATTACGTTTATAAACTGTTCTCATTTTTTTTGTCTTGTAAAAAATTTTTTTGTGTTACCCGACACTGCCCTTACTTATCCTGCCTTACCTAACTTGTTTTTTTTTCTTAGTAGGCCTACTTGTTATTTTCAACTCTGTTTTTTTACAACCGGTTGTTTCTAATCTTACTTACTTACTTACTTAGTCTTTTTTTTGACTTATCCTTTACTTATGCCTGCTCACCCAGTCGTACATACACGCTCGTTCATACACGCTCAGGACTCACCGAGAGTACGAGTCTCAGTGTGACACAATCATCAAGTATCAGCGAATTCACCGAAACTCAATGTGGGTAACATATAACTAACTAAGCTAACTAGACAGACGTCATCAAGTATCGGCGAATTCACCGAAACTCAATGTGTTTATACATATAATGTTAAAGCCGTAAAGTTATAGAGAGATTCGAACCCTAGACGATCGGTTCATGGCGGTTTACAACTTAGTGCGGAAATGATACGATGCACTAAGCTACGTCGACGTGTTGTTTAAGCGTGTTTTGAATTTATTTAAATTATCATTTAACACTTTACGCAGAGATTTTTTTTCTACACAGAGTTTTTTAAAGTTGTTTACAACTTTTTTTATAACAAAAAAATTCCCTACTTAATCCTTATGCAAAAAGCAAGATTAAAAGTTTCTAAATATAACTTGATTGTCATAAAATTCTTTTATTTTAATCTGTAGGGTTTAACTATTATTGCATAAAAGCTGGATATTTTATAACAAAATCAAATGGCAATAACAAAGATTGTACAGAGAAAAATGTCAGTTATTGAGACCATCGTTATAGACGACGATCATGATTTGGAGTTTGAAAAAATTGATTTGACAGTAGACGAGTTTATAAAAGTTCTAGATAAAAAACTCAAGAACCCACGTTACAAATAGAAATACCCGAAGAACCAAAAGAAACAGTACATTTCCAAGTAGATAAAAAAAGGTAGGAATTTATATACATAAAAAGTTATTTAACTTTAAAAAAAATAATTTTTTTAAAAATATTTTTTAATTTTTTTCTAGAAAAAAAGCAAATATAAACTAAAAAGAAGCCGTGAAAGAAAAACAAATTTTATTTTGAAAAAATTAAAAGACGATCTTATTTCTTATAACTTTTATAATAATTGTAAATAAAAAAATTATAACATCTCTAAATAATTTATTTTTTGTTTATTTCTTTTTTCTTTTTTTTAACGCTGCATTTTTTTCATGTTTTCGATTAACGTAAGCATCGTTTGATATTTTCTATCGTTTTATTTTTTTACCAAAGCGTCCCAATTTACGATTAGATTTGTTATCTTTATATTTTTTTTTTAGTTTTTCGTAAACATACAAATATATTTTTGAAATGGCTTGGTATCCCTCTATTTTATGTTTGTGTATGTTGTGAGTTTCTTGTAGTGCGTACAAAATCAATTGGATTATTTAAATAATTTTCTACAGTAGCTTTTGATCTAGGTGTATATCTTGTGCGATATTTTTTTAAAGTAAATCATATTTATAAAAAAAATATTTTTTTTTACAGACTGTATTTTATGAATTAAAACCATGGAAAACGAATTAAGAATTATGTTAGCAAAGTATCTTGAAGCTTATTGGACGCAATTTGCTGTTTATTTAAGCTTGGATACATACGTTATTCAAGCTATTGCACAGTGGGCCAGGTGGTAGACAAAACCTCAAAAAAAAAAAATTTCGAAATACTTCCAACTACTTAGTACATTATATTTAAAAGAGCATAATGTATGGTTTAAAACATTATTTGTAGTTTGATTGTACATCATAAATGTACAATTATTAATTACAAATGAATATAATGATTAATTTTTTTTTTTTTTAATATACCATAACAACATAACTATAACAACAAATAACTTTTAAATTATTTAACATATGCGAAATTAATTGACATATTATTAAAATTTAATTTGATAGCTTTTCAAAAAATACCATAACAAATTCCAAGGTCTTGCATTAAAGTCACAGTTTTCTTTTGAAATATAAAGGTAAGATTCTTGTTTATAGTATAAAAATATTATGTTAAAAGTGGCTCATATAGTTTAGAACCTGCTGGAACAGCATATTAATGTTAGAATAAGTTAATACAATATATGTACAGCCTGTTGGTGCTGTTTTATTCTGCTCATAGCTGCCCCTTTAGGTTTGGTAAACATTTAAAAAATATATATTGTTGTAAAATGCTATTCGCGACAAACCTATTTTTTGGTTTGTTGTTATTATTAGGTGTTGTGCTTATTGTACTGGCCTAATTAAATATATCTGAAATAAAAATAATGGCCATATTCATGTTATATTAGTTTATAGTGGTTGCATTAATAATTTTAAATTAATTTTTTTGTAGTTGATATGAAGATGAGTGATGTCCATAACCGCATACGGCATGACCAACTAAATCCGAGTGATAAATCATTTTCTTTGTCTGTAGAAGCTATTTTAGTCTCTATGAATTTGGGTTCTACTGGGTGTGCTGCATTTTTAAAAGTTTATCAAAAGAAATGGAAGGATGCAAACCGAGGAAACATAAAGTTTGAGAGTAAAAATAAAAATTGGTTGACTCAGGACTTTAAATCTACATACAGTAATAATATATCTAAGCCTGATAATTCTAGTAAATTACATAAGATTGGTGGAAGACCAAGTTGTTCCTTTAAAGATGCTTCTGACAAAACCAAAAGGAGAAGACTTAATGATATTATAAATAATTTTTCTAGTGATGAGTTGCTCCACTCAGCAAGGCTTAAATTAAGAAATGAGTATTATTATGAGGCTGCCAAGCAAGTTGCTGAGATATCAGAACCTTCTAGTCAATTTAAAAAGTATACACCTGATGAAGGTTTGGCATTAATTATAGATGGTGGCATGTCAAAATCAACCTACCAACTTATGAGAAATGGAGCTGAAGAACGTGACTGCCATATATATCCTTCATACAACAACATAAGATTGTCCAAAGCTATGTGCTATCCAGAGAACATCTTTGTTGATGATTATTCAGCACATGTACCACTACAAGAATTATTAAAACATACAGTAAAAAGACTTTGTGAGGTGCAAGCTCCTGTGATCAGCACAATGCTAGATGGTTTGACAAGGTTGACGTTGCGTTGCAAGGCTGGGTTTGATGGGGCTACTGGGCAAAGCATGTACAAGCAAATTAGTAGTGAGGAAGCTGGAGATTGTAACTTAAAAAAAGAATCTCTGTTCATTACCTGCTTAGCAACACTAGAACTCAGTGGGTTCTGTAATAAAAAAAAAGTACTATTATGGCAAAATGAAAAGCCATCATCTACTGCATATTGTCGTCCAATAAGATTTTCTTTTCAAAATGAAAGCAAAGCAGTTGTTATAGAAGAAGCAAAATATTTAGAATCTGAAATCAAAAAATGTGGTGTTTTTAATTTTACTTTTAATGGAAAGGAACTGGTTGTCAGAAGTATTGAACTGAGCATGATTGATGGCAAAATCCAAACTATTCTGTCTCATGTGACTAACTCAACTTAATGTTGCTCTGTGTGTGGTGTATCTCCAAAAAACATGAATAACTCAATTCTAATAATTTAGGACAATTCTAATAATTTAGAATTGAAATATGGTCTTTCTAGCCTGCATGCCTGGATTAGGTTTTTTGAGATGGTATTGCATATTGGATATAAACTAGAAACTCAAAAGTGGCAGTCTAGAGCTATAGAAGATAAGGAAAATGTTATGTAAGTGAAGAAACGTATACAGACAGAATTTATGAACCAAATGGGACTAGTTGTGGATTTCCCAAAAAGTGGAGGATCTGGTAAGTGAAATTACATAAATACTTTTATATAAATCATCAGGTTAACTATCACATATATACAATTTGTAGGTACCAGTAATGATGGTAACACTGCCCGACGAGCCTTTGCAAACTATCAATCAACTGCCAAAATTTTGAAAGTAGATGAAACTCTTTTATTTTATTTTTACATCATACTAGTCACTTTATCATCTGAATTTGAAATTGACACTGTCAAATTTAAAGAGTTCTGTATTACTGCTCTTAAACTTTACATATCTAAGTATTCCTGGTATTACATGGCACAATCAGTACACAAAATTTTAGTTCATGGCCATGCCATCATTGCTAGACAGTACTTGCCAATTGGACTGATGTCAGAGGAGGCCTAAGAGGCCTGTAACAAGGATTTTAAAAAGTTTAGAGAAGATATCAGTAGAAAGACTTCCAGAATCGTCACAAATCGTGACTTGTATCTAGTGATTTTGTCATAACATCATTAAGAAAGTGTCATAAAAAAAATGGTAAGGGTTTAAAAAAATACCCCAGTGAAGTTTTGGCTTTGCTGAGGGAATCAGCTCCACCTTCTTCTTTTTCTTTGTAGCTGAACACAATTTGCTGTTTGATTTTTAAAAAAGGTTGATATTGAAAAAAATATTTTTTTACTACCTAAGCCTATTAAATGTCTTTTTTTTTAATAAAAATTAAAATATTCTTGTTAAAAATAAATATTATTTCATATACAATAATTATTTATATGTCTAAATGGGTTTGTGGACCAATTGGGTAATAATTAGGTTTTGTCCACCACTTCCCATATACCTGGCCTACTGTGTATTGATAATGATTACAATAGAAGTTATGATAAAATAAACCGCGTATTGACTTTATTTTTTCAAGTTAATCCAGAAGAAAAATATAATCCGCAATTTTTATTACGAGTATTAAAAAAATGGTTGAATGATGAAAAAACAAAAACACTTTTTATGAATTCAAATTTAATGAAAACTCCTACTGAATTAAATGTATTGATAAAAAATCGAGTGGAGGAGGCCATGGAGATTGATTAATATTGTTTTATGAATATTGTTTTAACTTGTAATTTTTTTTCAGATTTATTAATTAAAAAAAATTGAAAAAATTATATAGGGTGTTAACGATGCCATCAACAATTATGACATACCATCTGAACAAAATGTTAAACTTATTGTTTCATACGAGAACATTCCGTTTCTAATTTGAAAAACATTGATATAACCGATAAAAAAGCTGATTATGAAGAGGACGAATATGAAATGAAAGAGATTGATTATGAAACAAATGAAGAATATGATGTCGATGATAAAGATGGCAATGATGACAATGATGATAATGATGATGAAAACGACGATAATGATGATGATGATGAATATGTAGAAGACATGGAAATAGACAATATTGACTTTTTTTAGTTCAAATTTTTTTTACATAATTTATAAATTATATATATTTTTTAATATTAAATGTGTTTTATTATGTATTTACTAATATAAAATCTGTATTGATACTCTTTTTTTTAGCAATTAATAAAAAAGTGGCAGAAGCGAAAAGTAAAGAATATTGCTATTGTTGCAAACTACCAATTAATATATAGGAATTTCTTGAACATCAACAAAAATGTTACAACAATAAATCAATAATAAACCCATTAGAATGCGCTTCAGCGAATGTTTAAATTGAATGTTAAAATTGAATGTTAAAATTGAACTAATGTTAAAATTGAACGTATCTTAAAAATTGAACATAGAATTTGTAGATGAAAAATTTATTCTGATTTATATTAACGGCTCCTTGCAAGGGAAAGTGTCACGATAGTATACCGCTTATTATTTAACTGTCATAACTTTTATCGAGTCACGTGACTGTCATACGATGTTATGTGAATTGAATTGCTAGAGTAGCGCTTATCTTTGTAATGACGTGATGTTACTATGAAGCAAGATAGTCAAATATATATCAAAATTGTTGTATTTATGGATAACTTAAAACAATACAAACATATATATATATATATATTTTTACATAACTTTTAAGGTATTTAGAAACTTATTATGAAATATATTGTCGATTTTTAAACAATATAGTTCTAATGCACTTAAATATTTCAATGAGCCAAACCATTTTGATAAACATTATTTAGAGAAGCAAAATAACTGATCTAAATAAAGTGCTAATGAAAGATTCTATACTGCTCCTAATTGACAGCTTTTCTATTGCAAATAAAACTTAGATTGTTCACTTTTGTAAAGAAAAGAACTTGCTATAAATTTTCATGTTTTGATTTATTTAAATCTGCTTATTTATGCAAACAATTTTTTAAAAATAAAGAAAGTAACCACTAAGATGATAATAGAAGTCAATTTTTTCTTGAAATAAAAGTACTGCATTAATAAATATTAACGCATTTACCGATAATTGGGTGCAAGTAACATATGTAGGTAACAATAATGTGTTTTAAGAAACCAAATGTAACCATAAGAAATCATACTAGTTTAAACTTAACTAATGACACTATTCGTAATACAATAGTAATACAAGATAAAAAGCTATACAAGAAAATAATACAATAAGATAGTACAAGATACAAAACAAGACAGAGTAAAAAAAGCCTTTAAAGTCCACATAATGTTAAAAAGTTCACAATAAAATTTAACCTTTGATTTCATGAATCATCAGAAGAACAATATGATCTATAGGAAACACTTTTGAGTGTACTAAAAATGCTTTATCAATTAAGTAAAAAAAGAGCAAGGTCTAACATTAAGTTTAGGTTACGATATGCATGCTAATATTCCTACACACAAAAATAGGTATAGTTTTTATTTACCTATTTTTGCATTCCAATCGTGTAGGCGATAAAAACGACTAGTTGATGGTAGCCTCTATAATAATTGAAACTCTCTGAAAGCACCAGTGCAACAATCAATTATCACTGAAAATCAAATAACTGGTGAAGAAACTTTTCAAACAAAGCCTCTTACGATGAAACATTTTTTGAATAGTAATTATTCGGAAAAATCGGCTTTATTTTCAAGATTTTATTTATGGCCAATAAAGATTTTGAGATATTAAAAAAATTTTTTTTTGATAAAAGTTATCAAATGTTTAAAAGATGCGTGAAGACTAACCCGTATGCAATGGACCTTCAAATAACCTATATTGGGACAATTATCATAGTTAGATATTCTTGGTTTCTTTACCATTTGTTTATGAAGAGCAACTAACTCGTATATATACTGTGTTCCTTAATTTGTAAAACGTGCAGAGGGTAACTAAATCTTTTTCCCACAACCAAGTCTGATGCCTTAGTTTTGTCTGTTGCTAGAAGATAACACACTTAAATGGATTACAAATTGCAGCATGTTAGACAACCTCTGTAATACATTAAACTTTATTTAAAGTTTTTATTAGCAGTTACGTCCTGCTGCAGTTACGTCCTGCTATGTTTAACACTATTTGACTGGTCAATTGACCATTCCATCAAATGAAATAATGCTGCAAGCTTTAAGTGCACCAAAGTATATGGACAAAAAAAACTCTTGGCGAAAATATTCGTTGGTAAAACGAGCATCAAATCCTGAGATCCAACCACTATGTAGATTTTTGAGGAGAGAAAAAGCCTAATCACATTTTACATAAAAAGGGTTGGTAATGCTAGGCGAACTGGTGAAGAAAGGCAAATAAAATGAAATAAAAAGGTCTTGATTGATCGTATATAAGAAAAAAGGCAGAAATGAGAAATGATAGTAAAAAGCAGAAAAGAGAAATGATTGGCAAGTACAGAAAAGAGATATGATAGGCAGAAAAAACTTGGGAAAGAGATGAGAATGGTTTTAAGGAAAGGATAGACAGCTGATGATAAACCTTTTGATTCAGTAACTGAACACCAACGAGAAATCTTAAACAAGACTTTTGAAGAATATTTTAAGTCACTTAAATATATGGAGATTAGACATGTCTGGAGTGTGGCTGATCCTAATGTTTTTGAAGAGGTAAAATCTTGAAAGATTTTTTTAAAAGGATACATCGGATAAAGTACTTAAGTGGCAGCATATTAAAAAGTAAATGAACTAGAGGAAGATGCAGAGGATTCTAAAATTAATTTAAAAAATTTCTTAAGAGACATGGTTTTAGGTAACTTGGTTTTATACTGACTAGTTATTTCGCATTTAACTTTAAGTAATATTTATGCAATTTATTTATGACTATATATTTAATATAATATTTATAATATAAGCTATGTACTTATTAATTAAAAAAAATTGTTCATGTCAATCATCTCAACTCGTCTTCCTCCCGTTAGAAAGGACAGAAGCCCTGCATAGCTCTCTCCCTAGTTAGGTCGTTTTAGTTTTACATTATAAAGCTTCCCCGCCTACCTACCTCACCCTGCAGCATTAGATGAAGAAAATTAAGGAAGACAATGAATTTAAGAAAACATAGAATCCTGGTCCAGAAAACATAGAATCCTGATACTAAACTTATTACTGCTGATACCATCGCAAAAGCGGCTAACATAGACCCAAAATATTCCCATGACATGATCAAATGCTGTCATTAAAGAAAAGTTCATGAAAACAGCACTAAGCCAAGCCACACGGTAACTTTTATGAATGGGCTGAATAGTGAAAACACCCTAACCCTGACCCTGAACACACAAGAAATATCTTTTTTAAGTCCAACAACAATACTTGGTTTGAACAAATGTATTCATCTCATATTCATAACTCAAAGCCGCAATTAGGCCATGAAAGAACGTCATCGATTTAGAGAAAACAAGTTAATAGTAAGCGGGTACCTCAAATACCCAGCCCTACAAAAAGATAAGAAGAACGGAAAATCCAGGTTTTACTTAAATCTTTTACATCGCCTATAGCTTTTGAGTTCGAAAATGGTATGCTTAGATATTTACATGTTTTTTTAATTTGTTTGTTTTGTTTTAATTAATTTGCGGCATCATGTTTGAATTTTTTTTAAAGCTTTATATAGATTATATAAAACAGTAGCTATATAATAATAACTGCACTTTTAGTAATGTTGATTTTATTTATAACTTTTTATTTTATTTTTGGTGAAGATATTCCGATGGATAAATAGTATAAAACTCTTTTGTTAGTAAATGTGCACTTGGTAGGTTTGATTGAATAATCATATATGAATAATTATATATGATATATATGAATAAACAAAATAAAAATATATGAAGGGCACAGGGGTAAAAGCAGACATGTCACATTTTGCAAGTTTTGAGAAAACCCATTTTAAAAGTTCAAACACTCCTCAATGATCAAAGATACAGAATACAAAGTTGAGATTCTGCATACAGCAAGCCGAACCAATATCATTGCTATAAATGATAAAGTTTGTATGTCTTTTTATGACCG